CTGGATTCATTCCATTAACTGGCTTCCAGGGACGTCCAGGACATTTGGGGGAGATTGTTTCCGGAAAATCAGACAACGCATTAAATAACAGTTTATTTGGTTCTATCTGGATGTCAGGGATCCAATCATCATCACTTTCTGTGGGAATACTGGATTCATTCCATTAACTGGCTTCCAGGGACGTCCAGGACATTTGGGGGAGATTGTTTCAGGAAAATCAGACAACGCATTAAATAACAGTTTATTTGGTTCTATCTGGATGTCAGGGATCCAATCATCATCACTTTCTGTGGGAACTGGTGGTGTATTAGGCATCACAGTTGCAATGAGATCTGAGTCCTGAAAGTCAGAAAAGGTAACTGCTCTGTCTGGCCGGGCTAGGGAAGGGATGGGTGTTGGCCCTTCTGTCTTCTCTTGTGTCTGTGCAGAAGATGTAGTACTATCTTCAGAATAGCTTGCTAAATGCTCTGTTTTCCGGCCATTGTGCTTTCCACGGATTTTGCCTTTATTTTTATGTTTTTCTTGGCCATGAGGACGCTTATGTTTATGTCCATGGTCAAGGCCATGTCTCCCTTGGTGTTCAAGATCATACTCAAGTTCAGGTTGATGTCCATGACCAAGGTCAGGCTGTTTTTGATGTCTATAGCCAAGGCCATGTCCCCTTTCATGTTTATGGCCTTGGTCATGTTCACGTTTATGGCCCTGGTGAAGGCCATGTTCTATTTGCTTTTCGTGGACCCAGTCATGCCTATGAATGGGTCCTTGTTCTTTTTTTGGATCCTGCTCTTCATTTTGTACACGTGCCATAAAAGTGTGGGGTGGACTTACAGTTATTCCTTTTCTTGTTTCCTTTACTTGTACTGATCGGAAAGGTGAAAAACCTGGAGGCCTTTTCAGGAATGTGATCTAAACAGGAAATATTAAGATGAATGCATTACTGGGAAAAAGAAACTATCAATGAAGAAAGAAGAGACTGAGATCTGGCAATGCTGTTTTGGTTTATAATGGGGAAGGTCTTTGCCAAATTTTAAGAACTATATTAATGCTCTAGAAAGGCTGAGTGATATTTTTTCCCCTTTTGGCTGATCTTAGAGTTTGTGGATATTATTGTTCTTAACACTACAAAATAAGCTGGAGAATAAATCTGTGGCACACTATTTATTAATTGATACTATTTCTATTACCACCATTACTGCTTTTATCCTAAAAGGCCCTAAGTGGCTTTATGAGCTAAATGTATAGGTAGCATGTATCCACGATCACTTTTCTGGGCTGAAACACAATAGGACAAGTTCGTGAGCTTAAAATGCAGCCTTTGTATAATGTTTGTGTTAGACTACATACCCATACATGACAAAAACCTAAATCAGAAAAAGGAGAGAAGAGGCAACTTGCACTGAAGATATGGATTTGTGGATTATTTCTACCTACGCTTTTACTACCTGTGAGAATGTGATGGTTGGAGGCAGTGTTCAGTGGTGCAAAGAACATGAGACTCCAAAGCCCGTTTTACTAGTAGCATCTGGCTACTAGTAATCAGCATTGTGGTGAAAAGGGTGGATTCTGATTTGACCTAGATTTGAATGTGAATGCCAGTAGCTTCACTTTTCTCTTCTGTAGAATAGGATAATAACAGCACCTACTTCATAGGGTTATAAGGGGAACTAATGAAAAATATGTATGAAGCTCTCAGTATACTGCCTGGGACAGAAGAAGGACCTGGTGATATTATTATATGTTCTGGGATCTCAGAGTCTTTCTAATTTTTAGTGTCTTATCCTTGATAATGGGGAAAGTGTTATTTACCTCCCAGGGTTCTACAAAGACTTGAAAAAGATGATGTGAACTAATGCTTCTCAAACTTGAATGTGCGTATGAATCCCCTGGGTACCCAGTTAAAATGCAGATTCTGATTCAGTAGATGTGGAGTAGGGTCTGAGAGTCTGCATTTCTCTCAAGCTTCTTGAAAAGCAGAGAGCAGTGGAGGGCTGTATCTCACCCACAGCAGGGACTGCACTTCACTAAGAAGAGCCTAATGAAGCTTCAATGGAATGCAGACAATGTGTGAGAAGTGATCAAGAGCATTGTTGCTCTCCTTTCTAGCCATTAAAAAAAAGAGAGATCAGCACAGAAATGTCAGATTTCTCTCCATTTTAAAAAGATGGTCCTCCAATACTTTTCAGTAATGGTTCATTTTCAGAATGAGCAGAACTGACCCCAATTGTAAGTAGAATCATACCATTCCAAGTGATCTACAGTTGACAGTAGGGTAAATTTTTTTCTCCCAAGGTATCACATAAACTTCAGCATTGCAGACCAGACTTTGCTGTTTATGAAAACAGAAACCAAAAGAGAGACCAGTGTTATCCACGAGATACTCAATTAAGTGGTTCTTAAACATCAAATAGGTTTCCATTGAAAAAGTAGATAGTTGCATTACTACTTACACCAGGGTTTTTGGTCTCACAACTTTCGGACAACTCTTCATTACTTTCCTTGGAACATGTGGTTTCCCTGGCTGTAAACTCAATAGAAAATTTCTGTCCAGCCACCAGCTGGAAAATTAATTAGCACAAAGTAAATATTTAGTAAATATTTCTATAATAAATCATATATTTTTAATCCAAGGATTTTTAAGGAAGAATCTTAAAGTTTTAATTATATACTGACCAACTTAGAGAGTTAAACACACCAAAAAGTATAAACATTTGACAGTAAAACATTTAGTGGGTATGCATATTTAAAATATTTGGCTGTTGGTTGATCCCATTTCCTTTTCTAAATGGGAAAATAAAAGCAGGCCATAAATTTTATTTTTATTTTTTTCTGAGTTTTATTGTTCAACAGCTGCAAAATTCACTAGTAATTTGAGGGCTCAAGTTGTAATAGAATCTAAGAGGAGTAGGAAGAAAAACTTAAACATTTTCTTTAAACAACCCTCGTTGTCCTGCCAAATCTTCAGTTAGTGAAATACTGAGTTAGTGCCACTGTAGAAATTATGTAGATTAAATTATGCAACTAAGAAAATTGTTTGTATTTTCTATTGCTTCTCTTACTTTTTTTATATTAAGAAACCATTTTAATCTCTAGAAACAGTTTTAATTACTACACAGTGGTGTCTTCCATTAAGCATTTTGTGGCCCAGTTTCTTGACCAAATTATTTAGTATTTAATTATAGAATTTAAATGTATGTGTATGTGTGGATGCATGCACATACATGTATGTGTTTGTAATATTATGTAGCTATTAAAAAGAATGCATGAGGCTGGCTGGTTAGCTGAGTTGGTTAGAACACAGACTTGTAACACCAAAGTCAAGGGTTTGGATCCCCATACTGGCCAGCTGCCAAAAAAAAAGGAACGCATGGAGTCTATATCTGTTGACCTGGAGGGACAGCCATTATTGAAAAAAGGAAGTTACAGGGTGATAGTGTAATCCTATTTTTGTAAGAGCAAACTATAACAGTCTTCTCTATCTCTTTGTGTTTTTTAAAATCATGGAGAAACATGTGATGGGAAAAGTATGGGGAGAGAAGAGTCATAGGAAAAACTAAACTCCTCTACCATTTCTGGCACTGTTTTGCTGGCTAAGTATGTTTAAATTATTAGAACAAATTTAATAATTAACTTAAATCTAGGTGTGTGTGGAAGTTGGAAAGGAAGGTTCCAAGAGAGCCTTAGAGTCTATAGTTTAGTGCTCATGAATTCTTTTGCTCATGACAGAGTGCACCTTAATTCAATCTTTTTTTTTTGACATTAAAGTTGATTAATGTAATGTCACCTAAAAAAGCTGACAATTTGTGGGAAGTGGAGTGAGGCTTCTGGTCAAGATGATGGAATAGACGGTTCCCAGCATCACTCTCTCCCACAATCAGCCAATTTACAACTATTAAAAAGCAATGACAGCCAAGCTGGGGCCGCTAGAGCTCAGGGAAAGGGGAGGAAAGACCAATGGAGCTCATGAAGGCAGGAGAAGCCACGATGAGAGAAAGAAAGGATCACTCTGACTGTTTGGAATCCTGGCCACTTCAAGCCTGGAGCTGCTGAGCACACTGAGCAAGAGCTAGCAAAAGCCACAGCTGTGCACTTCACATGAAGTTGCTTGGAGGCAGCAGGGGTGAGGAGGGCCTTGGTGGCCCCCACGCCAGCAAGACAACTAACAGGGTTCCTGTGGACCCACATAGGACCAAGGAGCCACTTGTGCACTTCACATGAAGTTGCTTGGAGGCAGCAGGGGTGAGGAGGGCCTTGGTGGCCCCCAGGCCAGCAAGACAACTAACAGGGTTCCTGTGGACCCACATAGGACCAAGGAGCCACAATAACTGAAAAAAGAAACCACTCAGAGGCCAGTGAGTCATTGCAAGGGACCAGTGCATGGCCTTCCCATGGGAAGTGTTTGCAGTGTGGGCAGCAGGGGAGACAGAAATTGAGACACAGCATGGACAGCTGATCTGCCCCCCCATCAGCACAGGCCCACTCTGTGTAGACTGGTCAGGAATACAGAACTTTATGGGGAGCAGTTTGCTAAAAAGACTGAGGTCCAGACCAGAGTTTCTACACAACCCAGATGTACTGGATCTCATGAGACCCAGAAGAACCTATAAAGTCAACCATTAAAACCTGAGCTGCACGAAAAGCCTTCCCCAGAGAATCAGCAACAAAGCAGCAATTTAGCTCAACTACAGAGCTCAAGTGCTGGTCCCCAGAGGAAGTTCCCCCTTTTAGAAGTAAGCAAAGGGCAACAAATTAGTTCCAGTGGAGTTTAAGTAGGAAAAGCGAATAATCCAGCACAGAGCTGAAAGAAAAACAAAATACCCGTATACCAGAGACAAAGTTTGATATTAACTAGTAAAGGTCTCACTTCACCAAAGAACATCTATAAAACCTAGGAGGACCAGAAGGCCCCGGGGCCCCCAAGTCAGGGAAGGGGGAGGGCCAGGGGCCTCAGCCATGCCCCTGACACCCACAACCAGCCCAGCAGCGACCACCAGGCTGCCATAGGAAGCACCCTGGGCTCCCGAGCAGGGGCAGTGGGGTACTGAGAGCTTTGGCCACACCCTCCTGACATCTGCATTTAGCCCAGCAATGACCAAGCCACCACTGGAAGCCTCCTAGTCTCCCCTGCAGGAATGAGGGGAGTGCCATGGGCCTCAACCACACCCTCTCTTCTTCCTCCTTCTCCCACTCTATTTCCTTCCCCCTTCTTCTCTCCCCCTCCCACCCAGCTCCTCTGCAACTACATCTTAGAATGTAAAAACAGGTGGAGCTGGGAACCAATCCCTCCTCCCACAACCAGGCAAGGAGCATGCCCAAAACACCACTTCCATGTGACCACAGCCACCACAATGGCCATGGCCGCCACAAAAGTGGTTAGACGCTACAACCACCATGCTGATGTCCTGCCAGCCACTTCAGTGCATGGACACAAGGAGAGTCACCAGCAGAGACCAAAGAAAAGAAGAGGAAAGAAACCTATTTCCACAAAGCCCATTCCGGAGTGCTAGAAGAAGCATCTACTCTACAACAATAGTGGGAGACCTGAACACACCTCACTTAGCACTGGACAGATCATCTAGGCAACAAATCAACAGGGTAACCATTACTCTTTCAGAAGGAGAGAAGAAATCTAGGGTTATCAGAGGTGGGAGTAGGGAGGGAGGGGGCATGGGGAGAGATTGGATAAGGGGCATGAGGAATAGGTATGATTTATAATAAGACATATGCTGATAATATCGATTTGATCAACATACATCAATGTTGAACCCCCAAAACATGTAATCAATTATGAATCAATAAAATAAATAAATAAATAAATAAAATAAAATTTTTAAAAAGCTGGGAATTTGTGACTCAAATCACAACTGATGGCTCAACTCTATTCAGGGTCCAGAGGGGAGGAATAAAATTTAGCAAATTGGTCATTTGGAGATTGGCTTTTATCAAATTCATCATAAGGTTAATTAATTTGCAGTAAATTGTCTGTTTCCACCAACACTGCCTTGTGTCAACACGTCTAAGCAGTCAAATTGCTCTCTTTAAAAGCAAAAATCAGTAAAGATTCATCTCTTTAAAGTAAGTTTGAAATTCTCTCAGTATTCAGATTGATTTGGCAACTAACTGAGGGGATGTTGGCTTTGTTTGGTTTGTTGCCGTACTTGTTGGTGTTCTCCTGACATCCTTAACACACACACACACACACACACACACACAGACACACACACTCACAAATGTTAATTAGTTAATTTACAGAGAGAACTGTAATTGCTAAGAGGACTAGATATTCATGTTTAGGAATGAATGATTCTCTCTTGATAGCAAACCTCTGACATGCATATACGAATTTCTTGTGAAATTCCCTTTTTCAAAAGAAAGCAAAAACAAGAAGTGAAAAGTAAAGCCAACAAAAACAAGAGTAGCATGGATTGGTATCCCCTCCAAGTATGGCTAATATGGTCACATGACAGTGAAACCTAGGAGAGGGGGTGGAGGCGTCCAGGACAGGAATGAGTGCTCCAGTAGAAGACAGATCAAAGTGTCAGTTTTCATTTATTTTCATAAAGTTTGTTTTCTTTTTTTTTGTAAAACTAACAGGAGAATAGAAGGATGAAAATAAAATAGCCCATTGTGCCATCTCCTAAAAACCACCACTGTGTGTATAGTCTGAGGCATTCATTTCTTTTCAGTATTGTTTTCTGTACATTTTTATAACATAATTGAGAACATAACGTATATTCATTTGTATGGCCCCTTTTTTTCACACTAATAAAACATAGACAGTTCCTACATCAGTAACTCCTCACAAAGATCCATTATAATTGCTGTTTAATACTCCATTGTGAGGAGAGGCCAGGCATTATCTAATCATTCCCATGTTCTAGATCATTTTGATAACTACAATTAAAATTATAATCGAAATTGCAGTGGATATCATTGCATATAGACTCTTATTTTAGGTTCCTACAAATTCAACTACTGAGCCAAAAGCATGAAATTTTTAGTGAGAATTTTCTCAGGAGACTATGAAGATCATATTGGCTTGCTGTAACAGTTTGGTTCTATTTTGACTCTTTCGTTTAGCTTGTATTAGGAAGAGAGTTTTGAGTCTCTAGAATAGAAATCTGTCCACGAACACATGGGTTTTAGACTGTTGTAGCTGGTAGGAATTTGGGCTCTTCTACTCTAGCCACTCATCTTACAGATAGGGCCACAAAGGCTGAGAAAGTTGAAATGACCACCTGGAGCCACCTGGGACGTGACTGGCAGGTGCTGTGGTGGAGCTGAGTCTCCTGACTCCCAACTGAGGTACTCTTTGTCCTCTGTTGACAGAGCATGAAAGGAGAGATGAATCCCCAGAAGGTACATCTGTAAGAGGGAAGGGCACCCCAGGCAGAGGGAAGAGTGGGAGAAACAACACAGAAATAGAGTGTGGAGAAACTCTGGGCAATGATGGATTGACCAATATGGCTGAGCCCAAAGCACTAAGTGATAATGAGAGATGAGTAACAAATTTTATTAATTATATAACAGTTGGTAGTATTTATATAGCATGTTAGGGTTTTAAAAGTGATTTGACATACATTATCTTCTTTGATCCTCATCCCAGTCCTTTACAGATAGAAAACAGAGAGAATGTTCCAAGAGACTTGTCCAAGATCACACATCAAGCATGCAGTGGACTTGGAATTCAAATCTACCATATCTCATTACCAAGTATACTGTTTCCCAATCCAGAGCCAAGATCAGTGGCAAAATGAGTAGGCAATTTGCACATTGACTATAGTATCAGTATTTTTGTAGCATAATTTACAGACCTGTTCTGTTGCTCTTTTCACGGTGTCAATCTTGAAATAGAAAGTTTCATTATTCTCTGCATTAAGCTTTGCGATGGAATGAGTCAGAGCCTCCTGCAGCTCTGGGCTGTCGACGGGAATATCTCTGGGGCAGCCAAGACAAATTTTGGGAGGTGTTGGTACAAAATCCTCCGCTAAAAGAATCAGATTTTATCAGCATGTGCACTGAAGGAGCAGTTTAGCCTAGCACCTCTCCCACACAAGACCCAGCATCCATGTTTATAGAGGGCCACATGGTACCCCAGGCCTAGCAGTGAGTGGGCGAAGGTCGTCTGTCTGACCTTCACTTCCTGCCTCTCTTCTTTCCTTTCCTCAGAGCCCAGTGTCTTTAGAGAAACATATTCAATTGAAAGGTGTCAGTGACTCAATCAATATGCTACATATTTTCTGAATGTTTGCATTTTTAATGGAAACTATACTTTCCTTTCCTCAGAGCCCAGTGTCTTTAGAGAAACATATTCAATTGAAAGGTGTCAGTGATTCAATCAATATGCTACATATTTTCTGAATGTTTGCATTTTTAATGGAAACTATAAAAAACAATGTTTAATTTAAAGGAATGACTCTCTAATGGAAAAGTTTAAGTCCTGTGGCTCTCAGTAATGCTTCTCCTCGTGGAATATATACAACTATTTTCCAAGTAGGAGAAAAGCCAACTCTTGTTATAAGAAAGACTGACTTGACCATAAACTAACAACACCTACCTTTCCCCCCATTATAACATGCAGGAAAACAAAACAAAACAAAACAAAAACTTTAATTGGAAGGATTTTATTCTGAGTGGTTAAAAATGAGATACAGTTTTCTCTAACACATGACTAAGGATAACTTATACACAAGGGAAGACCAGCTGGCATTGTACCCAAAGACCAACTTTGCCCAGACAACATAAATTTTCCCTTCGTCATGGTACCTCCTTCTGGTCACTTGCAGAACAGTCTCAGCTGTACTCACTGCAGTGCAACTGGGCAGGGAAGGGGTACAGCGTTTACATCAAGGTTTGTAGGTTACATAGACTTTGTAGAATGTCATAGAAACTAAAATACAATTTATATGAAAAGACCCAGCCAGTTGTCTGGGACCACTCTTCCACTATTGGGATGCCAACATGTGTTATTCCTCACCTGGATAAAAGTCGCAGTTCTGTACGAAGGAAGCAATTCTTTCCTGAAGATCCATGTATGCATTATCTGTACATTCAGCCATATCCTGGTTTTTAAAAAGCATGTAAGTGCATAAATTAAAAACGTTTTTGTGAATAGTTAAGGTAAACAACTAGTAAAATTAAAAACGAGGTCTACTTTCTAAATCATTGCTTTAAAAACAGAATAAAACATAGTCTAACTGCAAAACAGAATAAGAAACAGATAATAGAATTAAAATACAACAAACACATACACATACACAAACACACAGAAAACGCAAAATAAGATGACAAGAATACCTAGTATGAAAATAATAACTATATAAGTAAATGGGTAGAATTTTTTTAAAAAATGTCAAAGGCTTTTGGATTAAGTTAAAAACAAAATGCATTTATAACAGCTTCAAAAATTATATTTCATGATAAAGATAAATAAAGCTTAAAAATAAAGAATGAGCAAAGCTATATGAGGCAAATATAAACAAAAACGGAGCTAGAGTATTACTGATACTGGACAAAGTAAAATTCAAGGTAATAAAAAACCCATAAAAGTAGTAAAAAGTAGAATTTTATTGTTCAAAGGCATAGACCAGAAGGCATGGAATCAAAATACTTAAAGCAGAAAAAATGAGGTATATGAATAGTTATAATTGTGGTGGGAAAATTTAATAATTGTAAATCTAAGGCCAAGTGAATAAATAATAAGTAAGATCATAGAAGACTTGAATAACATAATGAAAATTTATTTAAATAGTATTTTCATATAGTACATATGATTTTTTTCTTGGCAGCTGGCCAGTACAGGAATCTGAACACATGACCCTGGTGTTATAAGGCTGCAGTCTAACCAACTGAGTATTGCCAGAACAGTATTCAGTGTTAATTCATGACTTTACATAATTTCGTAATTTAAGAGAGGCATAAAACAAACAAAAACCCCATCAAACCTAGGTGTTTATTACAAGACATTAGAAGAAAAAAGAATAATAAACAAGAAAAACAAGAAGGAGGAAACAATAAAGATAAAAGCAAAACCAATGAAATAGAAAACAGAAAGTAATAACATAAATAATAACATCCAAATAATCCTTCCTGGAGTACGGGGGAAAAGCCAAATGAATAAAAAAGGCAACATGGCAAAGCAGAGAAGTATAAAAATATGAGAGAATATTATTTCCAATAAAGGAACACATACATTTTTTAAAAAGATATAGGGAGTACCATACTTAAAATACCTTAAGTTTGGATGAGAAAAAAAATGCAGGGAGTAGCCCAGCGTTTCTTGATTCTATCAGCACATTTGACTCACTGAGAAACTTTTAGATTATTCTGCCTCCTGGGACCCACCCCAGACAAATTACACCAGTATGCTTGGGGGGAATGGCCTGCGATTAGGTATTTTTTAATGCTAGCCAGGTGACTCTAATATGCTGTATGGATTGAGAACTACTTATGAAACTTCTTAAATCAGTACTTCTAAAACTTTTTTTGTTTGGTTTTTGGCAGCTGGCCGGTAAGGGGATCCAAATCCTTGACCTCGGTGTTACCGGGCAGCACTACTAACCAACTGGGCTAACAGGCCAGCTCAGTGCTTTCAATCCTTTTAACATTGCACATGAATCGCCTGAGAACCTTATTAATATGCAGATTGTGATTCAGTAGGTGTGGGGTGAAGTTCAGGATTCTGTTTTTCTAACAAGCTCCTGGGCGATGCTGATGCTTGGTCCAGGGAACACTCTTTGAACAGCACGCCTTAAATCTTACCAACTTTGGGAAAATATTTCATTTATATTTTATTTCCTTTAATTATTGTAAAAATTCTGTGAGACAGGTGTTATTATCATTTCCTATTTTAGAAATGGAGTCTCAAAGAAGTTATACCAAAAATCTGACTGGCTTTGTGACTTCAACCAGCCCTGCATCTCTCTGTGTTGCAATGAGAAAACTAAACTGAAGCCTTACAAACAGATGCAGGAAGATTAATGTTAGGTGGCATTTAGGCCTATGCAACCTCAAATGGCTAACTAAGCATAAAAAACAGAAGGCATTTAGAGATGCTTAAATGGCCAGCTGACTCAAAGTTAACTAATAATTAATAGAGTTAATTAAAGTTAATTAAGAGAGTGTATGACTTTAGAAGGTTCCTCTCTCCTTTTTTTTTTAAACTGTATTTTTTATTGTGGTAAAATATATACCATAAAATTTGCCATTTTAATCATTTTAAAGTACACAATTCAGTGGCATTAATTCCACTTACAATGTCATGCAATTACTATTTCCAAGTTTTCGCCACTCCAAACAGAAATTCTGTACTAAACAAGCAATGAATCTTCATAATCCTTCCTCCCACGTCCTTGTAAATTTCAACCTACTTTCTGTCACTATGAATTTGCCTGTTCTAGATATTTGATGTAAGTGGAATTATACATTGTTTGTACTTTGTGTCTGACTTATTTCACTTACCATAACGTTTTCAAGGTTCGTCCATGATGTAGCATGTATGAGAACTTTATTCCTTTTTAAGGCTGAATAATATTCCATTGTGTGTGTATACCACACTTTGTTCATCTGTTGATGGATACTCGGGTTGTTTCGGTTACTATAAATAGTGCTGCTATGAACATTCATGTCTAAGTATCTGCTTAAGAACCTGTTATTAATTTTTTTAAGCATATAACTAGGTGTGCAATTGCTGGGTCATATAGTAATTCTGTATTTAACTTTTTCAGGAATTGCCAAACTGTTTTCTATAATGGTTGCACCATTCTACTTTCCTACCAGCAATGTACAAATGTTCCAGTTTCTCCACATCCTCTCCAATTTTCCTTTTCTTGATTATAACCATCATCTAATTATGAAGTGGCATCTTACTGTGGTTTGTATTAGTGTTTCCTTGATGGCTAAGGATGTTGAGTATCTTTTTATGTGCTTATTGGCCATTTTTGTGTCTCATTTACAGAAATATCTACTCAAGTCCTTTGCCCTTTTTTTTTTCTTTTTTTACTTTTGTAGAGTTTATTGGAGAAGCCAGATATCTTTGCCATTTTCTAACTGGGTTGATTGCCCTTTTGTTGTTGAGTTGAAGGGGCTCTTTACATATTCTGTATATTAAACCCTTATCAGATATATGATTTGCAAATATTTTCTCTCATTATGTGGGTTTTCTTTTCACTCTCTTGATAGTGTTCTTTTTACTTTTTTCTCCAATTATGAAATAAATGCATGTTCAATTAGAAAATTTGGAAAGTACTAAAGAGTTCCAAAAAAGTATAGTCAGAAAAAGCACTCATAATTTCAACTGAAAGTTAACTATATTCTATATTTTGCATATTTGTTTTCCATTACTTTTTATATTTACATTTACTTTACTCATATTTGAATGAATCTGTATGTATAGTTTTGTATCTTGCTTTTTTTTTCTTAACATATTGCAACCATTTTATTATCTCACTAAAAACTATAAATTTTTTTGATAGCTATATCATATTCTACTGTATAGATATACTGTAATTTATTTAACCACTTCTTAATGTTGCATATGCAATTTATTTCCAATGTTTTTCCATTAAAAATAACACTAAAATGAACATCTCATGGTCTGGATATCCCATGTAATAGAATTAGAAGCAGAGTTACAGGACTTGCAGTAATTTCTTGGTTAAAGCATAGTCTTCTGCTCAAATGTAAATATCTCTGGGAAAGTATCATGCCTTAGCTATCTTAACATTCACTAGTCACATCCACCCTGAGATACAACATTTTAACATAATTTTGATTCAGATAACAAGATATCATCCTAGGAAGGGCACCTAAGGGATAGAGACTCAAGATATAGTTATTAAAGATAAAGGTAGAGAAGGGAAGGTGAGAAAACAAGCAGAGAAAAGTCTGAAGTGAGGTGGGTAGAGCTCAGGAACATTATAAGGGCATTAAGCACACGGGAAAGAAAAGGAGATAGGAAAGTGTGAAGACATAACAAGATAAACAACAATTTCATCATTTTGTCTCAAGCCATTCCTATTCCCTGATTATTATACTCTGTAAATATTTATTGCTAAGATTGCTGGATGTACAAATTCTTTGACCAGGTGGTAAGGCAGTTTGACCCGTGACCTGAGCTTCAGAGTTCCCAAGTGAAGGTAAATATAAATTGCTGAGTGTCATCTGAAGTTTTAGTGACAGTCTTCCCCCACTGCTTGATAGTTCCCCTTCCTGCAAATACTATAAACAAAATGCTAACAACTTTATAATTTATAAAAAGTTTGGCCTACTTACACCATTCAAAAGGGTCTTGCAGTCTGGAGTTAAGACAAGAAAATTCTCCTTGGAACAGTTAGTTTGCACAATTGCATAGTTAACTTGAAAGTTCCATCCAGCCACCACCTGAAAACAGTTTTGGGGTGACCATTTAAAGGGCAGTTTAAACATTATTCACACTGAGACATAAATGTTATGAAGAGTTTAGACAGTGCCTGGCATATAATAAGTGGCCAAGAAATATAAACTATTATTACTACTAGGCAGAAACATTACTGAATAAATACTGAGCACCTTGAGACTCTCACATCCCTCACACACAACACACAAACACACCCCTATCCGTCTGAAAATGAAACGCAATATATAGATGGAGTTACTACATTTCCTTAAGTAAGATCTAACACTATGCCCTTGCCAGGTTTCAGACAGAAAATGTTTTGCTGAATTTCACAAAATAATAATGCTCTTCCAGATGGACAAAGAAAACTTCGGAGGAGAGTGGCCTTTACTGATGGGTCCTCAGTTCCCAGACCATCATGAGGTATGATTTCTCCCACTTTATTCTCGTCTGGTCCCATCCTGATAGCTGTATACGGACATAATTGAGTAAAACATGCATCTCGCATGAAAGAAAGTTGTAAGGTCCTTCAAATGCAGCGAATGTTACTGACCAAAGTCAGTCACTCATAGAGTCACCAATAAGAGGCTGAAATACAACGGACACAGTCAACTATCAGAAAAAGCTGGGTGAGCTAAGCCAATAAAAAGACCAGATTTTCAGAAATTAACTTTTTTCTTTTTCTGATGATATGGAAACTATAATTTAGGGAATACCCAGAGAGCCATGCCAACCATTTTAGATAAAAGTTAATATTTTGGAGCCATGTTTAATTCATGATAACTAGGTGCTGGTATAGTTTTCTTTTAAAACCTTAAGGCCAGAATGGCTTTTCCATTTCATCGTCTCTGGGAAGAACATGTCACGATGACTACTCACTCTTTAAAAACAAACTTCAGAGGAAGGGATTCTGATTGGCCACCTTTCCCCCCTTTACATCATACTCCTTTGACTAAAGAGAAAGCCCTTTGCATCCTCTATGCTAGTCACAGGAAAACACAGAAGAGCTCCTCACCACCAGAAGTGCAATCATACATTTTCCTTCAGCCAATGGTTTATTTTAGGTAATGAAATGCTACTTCTAAAGATCTAACAAATTTTTAGCAATACTGTGTGACATGAAAAATTAAAGAACAAACCTGTCTTTGGGCCTTTTTTACTTCTCTAAGAGCAAAGAGGTAGGTATGATCAGTATTGTTGTTAAAATGTTGAATGCCGTGTCTCAGAATGGGCTCCAGGTCGGGGCTCTCCGTTGATATAGGATGCACACAGCCAAGGCAGTCATACTGGGCTGTCACCACAGGGCCCTCGGCTTAACAAAGAGCAGGTAAAAAGGCGGCGTTAACTATGGAAATCAATATTCAGATACATTGCCCTAAGCAAAGAAGAAAATTTAGAAGGCCCTGATAAACAAACTTTCCAGTAAATACCAGTATGTACTAGAGAAAAGGAGAACACAAGATTGCTCTTCAGTCAGAGGAAAAAATCCTATCATTCATTCAGGAACATCTTATCTGCACAATATCATGCATAATTATTTTAAATTTATTTTAAAGTAATTTTAATTATAGAATTAATTCATGTAGACATTAATGCGTTAGGGACGGTGACCGCTGGGAAGGAGATGACAGTCGCGTGGGAGAGACAGAACTGGAGACGGATCATTTCAAAATGATTCAGCAAGAGCCTGGACAGGCGGAGTGAGGCCAGGGAGGGCTCCACTAAGAAAAAGAGGAAGGCGTCTGAGCCGCGAGCGATGAAGAGCGGTCAAGCCCACTCCACGCGGGGCGAGCACGTGGGGAGACGCGACGGTCGGCTCCGGAGAAAGCAGGCCGAGCCGAGGCGCCGCGGTGCCGGACGGCGGGCGGAGAGAAGCCGGTGCTGCCCAGGGGCCTCACTCGCGGCTGCGGTTACTACCGCATGCGGAGGTGGCTGACTATATCCAGCCCATGTCACGGGCTCCTTGGCGAATCCGATAAAAGCGATGGCTCCCATCCCAGGAAAACGCACATACTCACAGCATTCTCCACATGATTTCAGGGGATCCACAGACCCTCTGAAGGGAATGAAGAATTGTCTGCTGAAAGAATGGGAAGCCCCTGAAGGGTTTCTCATAAAACGATGTAGAATATTTAAAAAGGAGTACGTGTGAAATTACCAAGAAATGTTCATAACAGATGGCCCTAATTTGTCCCAGACACCAAAACAAACGAGCTGATACACGTGTCCCTATGACTCTTGTTTACTATCAAGACTGCGCTGCGCACGCACCTCTGGGATATGTAGTCCAACCGGTTCCTCCGGCCTACGGTTTCTCAGAGCTAACGCGAAAAGCTGAGACTACGAACCCACAATCCATTTCGGGGGCAAAGTTTGGCTCGGGTCCCCGGAGTCTCGGCAGCCGTCCAATCCAAAGCACTTCCTCTAGTGATTGACACGCCGCCTTCTCCAGTAAACACAACACAAAAGTCAATACATGCCCGCCCCCCGAGGCGGAGCACGGTATCACCCAATGGAAAAGGCGAAGAATTGAATGGCAGTTCTACAGGCCAATAAAAGGACGAAAGAGATAGGCGGAGGCTCGGACCCCGGGGGGGTTGAGGGGAGGGGGAAGACGAAGCTTGAAAGACTTGGTAATGGCGACGGGTTTGGTAAGTAGGAAAGTTTCGGTTGAGGAGTAAGAGCAGCGGCGAGAGCAGTAACGCGCGCCGGGGAGGCCGACGTCAGTCGAAGAGCGGGTACGCGAGCTGCTGGTGGTGTTGTCGCTGCCAGGGCGGTCCACACCTGGGCTGACCGCACTCCTCGGCGGGTTTGTTGTCTTTCAGTTCGGGGAGGGGGGGGGGGGGGGGGGGGAGGGGCACGGCGTGCGACCACGTGCCGGAGTGGGGAGCGGGCCCCAGAGCTCTCCTCGCAACCGGTTCTTGGCCTTGTCTCCATAAATGTGTGTCAGAAAAAATCTGCCGGCTGCGAATGTATAGCTTCCCCCCCTCCTCTCCTTGTATACCTTATGTTGAATAAGGGGAATGGGCAAAGTTAAAAAACTGGAGGCAAATTCCATGACGAGTTTGAGAGAATCACTGATAGTTACTGACAGGCACAGAAGGTGAAAGGGGAGACGGAAGAAAGCCCAGAGGATGATTTGCCAACTCTCCAGGGCCGGCTTTTATTCAGAAGGTTGCCTGGGGCTAAGAGGCGAGAAGGAAGGCCTTTTGAGAGAGAGAGAGGAGTAGGGAAAATGTGCACACGCACAAAAATGTTTTTCTAGGTGACAGAATTATTTTTCACCCTACGCTGTCATTTCTACAGAGACGTTTTTAAAATTAAAATAAAGATTTTTAATTACTTGTGATTTCTTTTCTGTTTTGGACTGTTTTTCTTTGAACACAATTTCTTGCAAGAACCAGAATGCCAAGGACATAATTTTTGCCGGTACCATATAAATGACTAAGGCAGGTATACACAACTGCCACTGTGATGATTTACAATAGTGGCTCTGAAGATGCTCTTCGGGAGCCCTCATGGACTAAAACTCTTGCAGAAGGCCAGCTCCAGGAAGGCCTCTGTGAATGGCATCCTCTGTACTTAGCGCATCTACCACATTAGGGAAGGAGCTAATAGTGGTTATATCTGTTGATAAGTTGCTCCATAAATATGTTCTTAATAAGTTTCATTTATTGAGGGTCTACTTTACCAATTCTACTATTTACTAGCTGTGGGATCTTGGGCATGTTATTTAACTGCTCTGGACCTCAGTTTTCTCATCGGGAAAATGTGCATATTAAAGCCTACCTCATAGCTGTGAGGATTAAATGTCAATACATGTTAAGTGCGTACAACTGTGGCTGGCACATAAGTCTTCTATAAATGTTAGCTATTATTTTGATCCTGATTATCATGAATACATTATATTGATTGCTAGGCATTGTACCTTCAGGAGTATCATCTCCTTTCAGTCTCACAACAATTCTGTGAAGTGGGAAGTACTGTTATCTCCCTTTTCTAGATAAGGAAAAGGAAAGCCAAGAAGTTGAGCTCTGACTCAGGTCAGGTCTGACTTCCAAGCCTATGCTTTTCTCACTGTAGGATGCTGACTACAATTGAAAACAGTACTTGTGTCTTCTCGTCCTTTTGCAGAGCCCTTGCACACACCTGATACAATGCGGCACTTGAGGAAGAGAGTTGGGATAGTTCTGAGAAGATGACTGGCATGAGCCTAGCCCCAACCACAGGACTGTGCCACTCCACCCCACCCATGCCCCCGCCCTCCCTAATGCTGCAAATGGCATTGCTACTGCTGCCTGCTGGGAGGGGACAGCAGCCTGGTCTAGGTGGTGTTCCCGGCACACAGAAATGGCTAATCCTACCTGTCCCCAACCACCCCCCCCCCCCCCCCTGTTTATCAGCTACCTGGAGTAATCTGGCAGGTCTGGGTAGCCACGGAGAATTTCCTATTCCCCCTCTTCCCTACGGTTGCTGTACATTCTCCAGTGGCCTAAAAGAAAAGAAAGAGACCATTTATCCTAATCTTTCAGATGGAGAAGTCCACCTAGTACTGTTGCTAAATACGGCATTTAAAAAAAAAAAAAACAACTTTTGAAGACTTTTTCCAATGGAGTTTTGAGACAAGAGAATGAAAGTTTTTTAGCCTAATAATTATTTTTTTACGAGCCACTGATATTCATGAGTCATCAGAGAAGAGGTAGTATGAACGGTGAGATTTTTAAGCTTGAGTCTTTGTTTCAAGCCCTGGAGATAACTTCTTTTTCACCAAAATGCCTGCAGTGCCTTAGAACCAGCCTGCTAAACTCTCCTCTTGATTTACCTCTCAATTTCAGTGGGTCAGTTCTATTCACATAAGCTTCAGTTTAACTTATTGGAAAGAGCAAGAAACTTGGAGTCAAAGTGTCATCCAGTTCCAGCTCTGCCACTTGCTAGCTGTGGCCTCTGTCAAGTCCTTTCACATCTCAGAGTCTCAATTTACCCATCTTGTAGGAGATATGTACGTCTACCTCACAGGGTTATTGTGAAGAGTAAATGTGCAAATATACATAAAACGCCCAATAGAGGCCCACCCCATGGTAGGTACTTAATAACTGGCAGCTGATTTTTATTGTTTGAAAGTGTTTTTCGGTTGTTTTTTTTTTTTTTTTGTCTTATCAGTCTTCAGTCAAATGCACTGGACTTTTCCTAAGTGACAGATGCTATTTTATCAGGATAAGGCACATCTCTCTTCATCTCCACAGCCCTGTACAGCAGACAGTGCTGGGCACAGCAGCTAATTATCCCCACCTTACAGATGAGATAACTGAGGCGCAGAACCAGCACTACAATCCTGTCCTCTTGACTTGGAGTCCAGTGCTCTTTTACAACAGCAGATGACTATCTGTTCAAACCACATACAGGATGCCAATGTCCTAACATAAAAGAGACGAAACCGTGGACTGTGAAAAGAAAGGCTTGCTTCTGAGGCAGATACAGTCTTCAGCCTCCCTTCATTAAGGCAAAACAACCAGCTGTGCTGTGCCAGGCATGTTAAGCGTTTGGTTAAGGTACAACCTAAATGTCCATTGATGGAAGATTGGATAAGGAAACTGTGGTATGTATATACTATGGAGTACTACTCTGCCATAAAAAAGAACGAAATACTCCCATTTGCAACAACAGGGATGAACCTGGAGAAACTTATGTTGAGTGAAATAAGCAAAGCACAGAGGCATAAATACCGCATGCGCTCACTCACATGTGGGAGCTAAGAGAGAAAGGAAGGCAGGGAAGAAAGACCACAGTGGTGCCATGATCCAACAGAGGGAGGGAACATTCCTAGGGCTACATAGTGGAGGGGGAGAGGGTGGAGGGGAGGGAGTTTGTGGGATAATTGGGAGGGGGTGAGGGGTACAAAAGTAATTTCTGGTAAGGGGTATGCTCCCACTATGAATCTGGCACTCACATCATGGGCAGGAGAGGTGACAATTAGCTTTGCATCTCATGGATATTCTTAATTAAAAAAAAAAAGTTTGGGCCAGCCCGGTGGCGCACTGCTACAGTGCGCCACTTGGGAGCGCGGCGGTGCTCCTGCCGAGGGTTCGGATCCCACATACAGACCGGCTGCTCACTGGCTGAGCGAGGTGCGGGCGCAACACCGAGGGTTGCGATCCCGTTGCCGGTCTCGAAAAAAGACAAAAAGGAAAAAAAAAAGTTTGGTTAAGGAAGCCATTGTGAACAAGGTCATTGGCATAATTTATCTCATTTCATCCTCCAACACCCTGATGAGGTCAATATTATCTCCCTCTTACAGGGAAGAGCCCCAGTTCAGGGAGTTCAAGCAGCTTGCCTGCTATCACACAGCTAGTTGGAGGCAGAGTCAAGATTTGTACTCAGGACTGTGCAGTTGAAGCACCCACACTCTCCCCTCAGCAGCTCTTCAGCTCAACCTGAATGTTGATTTATTGTCTCTCTGGGGCCTGACGCACATGTCCTGATTGGTCTCTAGAGCCCCCTTCTCATGCGAGGGCTTTCTCCATGTTTAATTCCTGGTCTTGCCTTGATTTTTCTGTCTATGCAAGAACACAAATATAAAGCATATGATTTTTCTATACATTTGAGAGTTTATGTGCATTCCTCATAAACAGGCTCAAGAATATTAGTTATCCCTGCACAAGTACAAAATCTGCCAGGCTCAATGGAGAAACTGGAGGCTTGAGAATCTCAACACACTTACAGCTTCTGACGCTTCCTTGTAGTCACAGTCCTGCCAGCTTTTGCCACTTTTAACAGGGCAATCACCCTCCTTGATTTGGTACTTGAAGGAATAAAATATATCAGGGACAACCTGAAAAAAGCAACCAAAGATATTTAGGATTTATCCGAATGACCCAACAGCCAATAAATTGAGTGAGTTCTGATATAGCTCTGAATATTGATCTTGGTTTGATTTGATGAGAGCAATGCAGTCATTAAAAATATATCTAAATTTTTATAAATATTATAAGTATTTTTCTGGAAGAATGTTTATAATATACTTATAAATATAGTTTTTAAAGGTTACAATGCAGTATCCATAGTATTAGCCCATTTTTGTAAAAACTGATTTATATGGACTTATTTGTCTTTAAAAAGTCTGGAAGGGCCGGCCCGGTGGCGCACTGGATAGGTGCGCTGCTTGGGAAGCGCGGCGGCGCTCCCGTCCGAGGGTTCGGATCCCACATACAGACCGGTTCCCGCTCACTGGCTGAGCGAGGCACGGGCGCGACACTGAGGGTTGCAATCCCGTTGCCGGTCCCCGGTCCGGTGCGGGGGCAACACTGAGGGTTGCGATCCGTTGCCGGACACGGAAAAAGACAAAAGACAAAAAAAAAAAAAAAAAGTCTGGAAGGATATGCAACAAGCTGTTAAAATGTTTGTCTGTCAGTGTGGGATTTTAATTACTTTTCACTTTCTTCTTTAAACAAACATTTCTGAATTGTCTGACTTTTTTCCTAATGAATATATACTACTTTTACAATTAGAAAAACAAACAAGAGAACTTTCTTTGAAAAAATGTTAACAGTTATCTCTGTATGGTAGGATTAATTATGTGTGATTTTGGTATTTTTATTTACTTTGGTTTTTTTTCTTTTGGCTTTGGCAGCGGTCTGTGTTTTGTTTTCTAATGTATCTTTTTAAAAACAGCTATATTGAGATCTAATTCACATGCCAGAAGATTCACCTAAAGTATACTATTCAATGTTTTTCAATACAAGGGTACATCAGAAAATTCATGGAAAAGTAGAATTGGAAGACAATATGAATCTCTTCATAAACTTTTTGAAGACCTATCATATATTTACACAATCCCTTTTAGACCATTTTATCTCCCCCTAAATAAATCTTGTATCTATTCACAGTTACTACCCATTCCCCCTTGCCTCCAGCCCCTGGCAACCAATAATCTACTTTCTGTCTCTGTATTTGCCTATTCCAGACATCTCATATCAATGGAATCATACAACACGTGATCTTTGTGTCTGACTTTTTTTCACTTTGCATTATGTTTTCAAGGTTTAGCCATGTAAGATGTGTCAGTACTTCATTCCTTTTTATGCCTGATCTAATTTTTCTGAGATGTCATATAACAATACGTTCTAAAGTGTAACGGTGCTGAGTTAAGTGAGCTTTCCAATGCAAAATCCTGGCATGTCAGAGCAGTAAGAGATGTGATGCTGGGGGGTGATGCTGTCCGGTCCCTCACTTTGCAACTGAGAGCAAGGAGGCCCCAGGGCAGTGCTTGTCAGAGCCTACCTGCCCACAGTATTTGTGTCTGGGAGATGATGGAGTCGAGATAGTCTCCAAGGTTTTGATAATGTAGGCCTTGAAGCAGGAGGTGGTAGAAGCTGTAACCACATGGCAAAGTAAAGATAAAAAGATGACTATATGGGCATTTTAGTTCAAAAATCAAATTTTCCATGGATGTCAGCCAACGAAGACACTACCACTAAACTGCTACTTGATAGCATCAGGAGGCAAAATTCCTCACCTGACTATACTAGACAAGGAAACAAAATGGCTTGATTTTACTTTCAGAATAAAAAACAAAAACCACTCCACTGTGGTTTTTTCTTTATCCTTGTGATTTTACATGGTTGGTTTTTTTTTTTTTTTCCTGCTGAAGTAACCAATTGCTTAACTATCCAAGAGACACAGCATTTTATAGTGAAATGTATGTAAATAAACTCTTGAAAGATTTGTATTTCTTTGAATTACACATCCTGCCAGGATTTGTCTCCTATCTGAGTGCATCAATGCAGTGATAAAGAACATTAAAAACCAACTAAAAATTGCTCTTAATCTTGATGCATCCATCCATACAAACTTTGTGGTAGATATCTTGTCAAATGCAGTAGAACCATGCTAATCTCATTCCTGACTCCTCTCAGACATACCCCATGAAGTGCCCCCTTCCATTTAAGGTTTGGAGGGCTTTATTTTTTAGTCTAGGGCCAGAAACCCAGTGAATCCTCTTGCAACAGCCTGACCGAGTTCCTGGATTCTCCCACTCTGCTTAGTCCCTTTCAAATTTCTCCATCTACTTTAGTTTCATTTCACCCCAGGGTACTGCTTCTCTGATCACCTAGGAAGCCAACCTTTATGGCCCAAGGACTAGTCATACCCTGCTCTCCACCCCCAGGCTAGAGAGTGATGTTGGTCTTTTTCAAAGCTGTAAACATCTACCTTTGAGTATCTGTTCTTCAGAGGTTGCTGTGTGTGTGTGTGTGTGTGTGTGTGTGTGTGTGTGTGTGTGTGTGAATGTGAGGCCTGAGCTCCGAGAGACAGCACAAGTCCCAAGTGACTTCAAAGTTAAACACAGCTCACTCACCATCTTAGTGACCTCAGTTACGCGGTACAGTACAAACTGGTTCCCACTTTGGTTTTGATTGTTATATTTCTTCAGCGCAGCGTCCACAGCCTTAAATACATCCTCATCATTGCAGTCAATTTCCTGAGACAATGATTCCTGAGTTAAACTTGATAGCAGCCTGGAGCAGAGGAAAAGGATGGCAATTAGTTTCATGATCTAATAGTCTCCTTCTGGGAGCTGAGGGATGGTTTCACCAAGAACCCGGAGCCAACTTGGATACTGATTTTAACAATCTCTAGCCTCTTGTCTCTTCTGTCCTCTTCTCTCTCTGCTTCAGCACTCAGGGTCCTGTTTGGATTCTTGCAGCCATATGCTGTTTGCCCTATTCCAAAAGGGCAAATGGCTCTGCTGGATTATCCAACCACATTTCAGGCTAGAATATTACAACACTGGGGTTGTTGACCTTATCGTTTGCATTTGAAAAGCACATGGGAGCACAAGGCACACTTCCAGGTGATTGCACAACTTTGTGTAGCAAATCAGAGCAGAATCTAATAAGGGAGGAGAACCACCAACTAGCTCTGTTATTCCCTCGTGACTTTCCCAAAGCAATTCATGAAGGTCATTACATGTATAAAGAATACAACAATTAGTACAATGAGCGGAATCCTTTTAAATAACATTTCTTTGCAGGATATCTATCTGCATAGAAGCAGGCTGTTATCAATTTTATTGTTTGCCTGGGAAGCTCATGCACAGGGACATCAAGTGAGTTCTGGGAGTCCCATCCAGGATGTTGGCACAACTGAAAATAAAATATGGACATCCCACCTGGTCTCTGGCCAAGCCAGCATCTCTGCTCAATCACATTAGTTCTATACAGGAAATGTTCCCCAGGGTGGAGAAGACCGAGGAGAAGCATATGAAGAGATGGGCTGAGTGAAGCCCTGCATTCTCTGTCCTTGCTTCTTATTTCAGGTTTGGTGATGTTGGGACTCAGAAAATGATACCTCAAAGTACGGCACTATGGCATCTTGAGTACTTTGAAGGAAGCCAAGAGAGACTCAGACTTGACCTCTCCTTCTTACTACCTTCTCCTGCTCTTTCTTCCTTCCTCAAAGCAGGCCATGGAAACTAAAACCCCTCTCCCCCAAAGCCAGCTATAAAACCTAGGACTATTACTCTATCTTTCTTCCACCATTCTGTACAACAGCCAGCCCCAGAAGTCAGTTGAGAATATCAATTATAAGGCACTAGTTTTCCAAATGTTGGTCTACATTTCATAATATGTTGAAATGAGAAAAATAAAGATGTAGAAAAAGCTCTTCATAATACAACATTTATTCATTTAAAGGACCATCCATTACTCTGAGATTTTCTTTCTGACCTTTGTCAGATCATTCCTTTTTTTGTCTAATCACACTTCTATGTGGTTGTCTATGCTTCATCGAATCTAAGCATAAAAATGGACAGTTTTCCCTTGGGTCTTTGGGTCTTCATTCTGAAGGCTCCCATGTCATGTTAAACTTCGATTAAATAAATACTTTATGCTACTCTCTTGTTAACCCGTCTTTAATTATAGGAGTGTTGACCATTACCCTCATGATGGATGAGGAAAAGGTAGCATCTTTTTGTCCCTAGAGTGGAAAGGGTGTCCAAGCAACCTTTTTGATAAAGTTAGATTATTAGGAGAAAGGAGATCTAAGGGTAGGTTAAAGACATGAGTTAGCCCTTAGTAGATGTTTGCCTTCAAGTCTCACCCTCCCCCCCACTGAAACAAGGTAGAATTCTTTCTTATTGTTGATAAGATCTCTCTGGCTTGGCAATTGTCTCCCTGAGAGCTCCTGGAAAGAGGTGTCAATGGGGGCTGAATGGTGGCCTCATACTGGTATGGCAGGAACATGAGCTTGGCAAGTTAAGTGCAACCTGGATTCCAACCCAGTTCTGCTACTTAACTGCTAGTCAGGGTCACACAATCTTTCTGAGCCTCAGTTTTCTCACCTGTAAAATGTAGAAGACCATAACATCTTAATGGGATTTTTATGAGGAGTGAATGGGGTAATATATGTGCAGGGGCTGGTAATTGGTCCTTACAATTACCTAATGTTGAGAATTCCTGACTTACTGAAGTAGTGTCAGGTACATGGTGATGGCAGAAGGTTGATTCTAATGGGGGGATGTAAGAAAAAAAACAAGGGTGAAGGAGACTTGATAAGTTCCCAGGCTGAGAGGAAGGAAAAGGCAGCAGAGATGGAGGAACTGAAAGCTGAAAGGGTAAGGAAATGATGGTGGTGCACTGTCCAGGAGGAGTTGGAAAGATATAGTCAAGGACTTGGCAGTGTATACAGGCAGTGTAATAAAGAGGAAAGAATGTGGCTTTGGAAAAGGCTGATCAGGATTCTAATCCCAGTCCCACAATTTACTAACTGTAAGATCCTTAGCAATTAATTAAATCTCTTTGGGCTTCATTTTCCTCATCTAAAACATGGTTTTGTGGCAGCTCATTTTTCAAACTTATTTCCTTTCCTCCTTGGAGTACAGCTAGACTTCATTTCCCAATCTTCATTGCATTAGGTGTAGGCCATATGACTAAGTTCTAGCCAAGAAAATGTGAGCATAAGTTATGCATGCTACTTCCAGGCCTATCCCATAAAAACTGCCTTCATGATCCTCTAGTCTCTCCCCATTTGGGTTGGATGTAGAGGATCCAGAAAAAAATACTGAAGTCCAAGGGAAGGGAAGAACTTCATGATGAATGGAGCCTGGGACCCTGAATCACCATATAGATGACTACCTACTTATAACCCACATTGAACTGTTACGTGAAAGAGAAATCAAATTCTACATCATTAAGCCACTGAATTTGTTACAGCACCCTGCCTATTCTAATACAATTATATTACCTGTATAAGTTGACTGTAAAGATTAAATTACAAAATATGTGAAAATCTCTGGACTCAAAATATTTAGTATATCATGGACCTGGAAAGAAACTGAGGCATGGCTTAAACAATGAAGAATTTATTTGACCCCAATATGAGTGACTGAAGCCAATTACATGCTCCAACTTACCTTGGGAAGTGCTCCAGAGAACAAAGAAGGAACTTGGGCTTATAAAGGAAAAAGGACCAATCAGAAGGAGAGGTGGTTACAAAAGTTTTCTGTCAAGCATTACAATTTGTGCTAGCATCTTCAAGTAGTGTCGGCAGTAAGGGATTGGTTGTAACAGTCTGTGAGATGGTCCTCAGCTAAAAATTTTTCAGTTCGACAGAAGGTATGTGGAATAACAGTCAACAGATGTGTCGGCTATTATTTTTCCAGGAGGTCATGACCCTGGTGATTGATTGAAAGAGTTTAAAAGTTCAGGGTGCCTTTGGATGTGATTGATTGATTGCAACAGCTCAAAAGTTCAGGGTGTCTTTGGATGAGACGTGACTGAAGCTCAAGCTGAAATGTCCTCCCAACTCCATTTTAAGTGCCTTGATTGTACTGATGGCATTTTCTTTCATCAGTATCAATTCATTAAACAAAGATTTCTTAAACACCTAGAATGCACTAGATACTTTAATGAACAAAATAAAGTCTGTGCTGTCATAGAGTTTATTGGGTATGAATATTTCTAGTCTATAAAACTTAAAGAATGTTAGTGTCACTGACACAAAGAGCGATGTCAGGAAGTTGGGCTTTAGACATTTGAAAAGGCGTATTATATCACTCCTGTTAACATCACTTTTGAAAGTTGATGGAATAGTTGCAAACAAGCATTCATATACTTGTACTTTTTTTTTTTTTTCCCGACCGGTAAGGGGATAGCAACCCTTCGCACGGTGTGGTCCACACCACGCTCAGCCAGTGAGCGCACCGGCCATCCCTATATAGGATCCGAACCGGCGGCCTCGGGGCTACCAGCGCACTAAGCACCACACTCTCCCGAGTGAGCCACGGGCCGGCCCATATACTTGTACTTTTTTTTTTTTTCCTGACCGGTAAGGGGATAGCAACCCTTCGCACGGTGTGGTCCACACCACGCTCAGCCAGTGAGCGCACCGGCCATCCCTATATAGGATCCGAACCGGCGGCCTCGGGGCTACCAGCGCACTAAGCACCGCACTCTCCCGAGTGAGCCACGGGCCGGCCCATATACTTGTACTTTTTAGCCATCATGACATAAAAAAAATTAGAAAAGCAACAATCAACAGTATATTGTCTAAAACCTCTAGCAGAATGTAAGTTCCCTAGGGCAGGGATGGTTTCTCACCTAATTATTCAGCTGCAGCAACTGTGTCTGCATATGATGAGTGCATTTAATTGAGATGAATTGAGAGCTTTCCTGTGTTTTCCAGGTAATATTTTTATTAACTCAAGCAATATTTATGAATGTACTTTACAAATCATAAAACACTACTCAAATGTTGCTGGGGAGGATAATACTTTGAGTTATTAACCGTGGGTTGTTTTTTGTTTTTTGGTTTTTTGCCTCCCTGGATTTCACCTTTCACTACTTCCCATTCAAGCAGCTGACCCTGGGTTCATACCTCTGTGAAGGAATGTGATTCTGCAGGGCCACATTCAGCTGGTGCACCCCAGTGTAGCCACACGGGTTGTTTATGGCTGGTGACTATTCTAATTGCTTGTTGTAAGTGGTCTGATTGGTCAGTGCTTTTGTCATGTTAATTATTAACTACGTTGGGCATTAACCATTGAGGCTGGAAGGTAGAGAGAATCTGAAGTCTTATTAGCCTGTTTCTAAATTCTTGAGCCCTGATTTGGGTAGAAGGGAGAAAGAGGAGTGACTAGAATATGAGAAAAGAGTCTTCTGGTACCAAAAATGAAGGACATGAACTTATCTGAGACTAAAAAGAGAGCCACTAGCCAGCGGAAAGAGATGAGAACAGCGCAGCCTGATGATCTTGAAGCAGAGGGCAACACTCTGGGCATGCAGCCTGGAAGGCAGCAAGATCCTAGAGAAAGAGTAGCTGTGTGGCACATCTTGGCAATCCTGTTCATTAGCAGTGTTACAGAGACTCCTGTACCCCCAATTTGATACAGAAGTATCAGATAAACTAGACTCAAAGAGCAGGGTTGTGAGCATACCTCAGCAGGGGGGACTGGTGGACCAATGATCAAGAATCGGACTCCTTCTCATGCCTACCACCTAAACACCTTGACACTAGGTGAGATTCTAGAACTGTGGCACAGCTTTGTGTAGGGAGTAGAAGGGTGAGGGGAATCCAAGTAGGACTGGGATTAAGTTTCCTATCAGCCCAGCAGGTTGGCAACCTGAAACAGAAATTAATTTATTCTGAAAAATAAAGTGATATTTCTTGTGTACCTGAATTTATGGTCATGATTCACGCCTGCAACTTTCTTTGCAGTTTATAGCCAGAGTTTTGTTTGCTTTATAACTGAATTTAGAATTTATTTTTCAAAAAAGAAATTTGGACCACTAGAAATAACCATTGGGAGAGAATTTGGGTCACTTTCATAATAATAATAATCCTTTACGTGATCATACATACCTTCTTGGTATGACCACCTGTAGCATACACAGTAATAGAGACTCTAGAATTAGAGGACTTAAGTCCAGGGAAGAAAGAAATTCTGAGGATCACAGCCACACTGCCCCCCTCCCCTGCAACCAGGCCAGTGAAGGAGCCAGCTGTGGGCCAGCTTCACCCCTCCACCCCCACCTCTGTCTCCCTCCCCGTCCCCCTCTCCTCCTGTCCCCCCACACTGCTCCACAACATCTTAGAATGTAAAATAATAATAATAATAATAATAAATTTTAAAAAGAAATTCTGAGTATCAGAGATTTGCCTCAAGTAACGTAGTGGCTAGTGAATTAACTGCTGGTTTGTAGCAAGGAGATCTTTCCTCTGTTTTCCATTTGTCTGTCTCTTCTCACATCATCTCCTCTCCCATCCACATTTTGTTCTATCCTGAGTATAAAAGTAAGGTTAAGAATCAGAAGTGCCGGGGCCGGGGCCGGCCCGGTGGCGCACTGGATAGTGCGCCGCTTGGGAGGCGCGGCAGCGCTCCAGCCGAGGGTTCGGGTCCCACATACAGACCGGTTCCCGCTCACTGGCTGAGTGAGGCACGGGAGCAATGCCGAGGTTTGCAATCCCGTTGCCGGTCCCCGGTCCAGTACGGGGGCAACACTGAGGGTTGCGATCCGTTGCCGGACACGGAAAAAAAAAAAAAAAAAAAAAAAAAAAAAAAAAAAAAAGAATCAGAAGTGCTGCTGGAAGGGGTGGAGGAGTCACTTTGCAAAGATGTATGGATGTCGCTTTTTATTCCCAGAATGTGTCAGCAATGTCCCACCTACCTGTAATGACCTCAGGCATCTCTGCCACAGCCTCTGTCCTCTGTGACCTACAGTGAATGCATTAGTCATAGGGAGGATGCCAGGACACACAAAGAGGGGAAATGTACTCAGTGGCCTTTGAGCACGAGGCTGTCAACTTCACCCTGGAAGAGTGGGGCTGTGCTGGATCATTCTCAGAAAACACTCTGCAGAGAGGTCATGGAGGAAATCTTTACAAACTTGACTTCTGTATGAAAAATATGGAAAGAACAGAACACTGAAGATCAGTAGAAAAACCACAGGAGAAATCTAAGCAATCATATTGCAGATAAAGTCAGTGAAAGTAAAGAAAGTCATCATTGTGGAGAAACCTTCAGCCAGACACCAAATCTTAACCTGAACGAGAAAAGTCCTCCTGGAGTAAAACCATGTGAATGTAGTTTGTGTGAAAAAGTCTGTGTGTGTCAAAAATCCCTTAATAGGCTCATCCCATCTCACACTGGACATAAACCATATGAAAATCAGGAATATGGAGAGAAGCCATATAAAAAAGAGCAACATGGGAAAGCCTTCAGTTACCTCCACTCCTTTCAAATTCTTGAAAGGACTCACACTGGAGAGAAACCCTATGATGGGAAGGAATGAGGAAAAACCTTCTCTTGGAAGTGTTGGAAGACACAGACGACACACACTGGAGACGGACCTTATGCATGTAAGGAATGTGGCAAAGCCTTTGACTGTCCCAGTTCATTTCAAATTCATGAAAGGACTCACCATGGAGAAAAACTGAATGAATGTAAATAATGTGGTAAAGCCTTCAGTTGGTCTAGTTCGTTTCGAATACACGAAAGAACTCACTGGAGAGAAATTCTATGAATCTAAACAACGTGGTAATGGCTTCAATTGGTTGAGTGCCTTTCAAAGACATAAAAGAACCCACACTAGAAAGAACCCTATGAATGTAAGAAATGTGGGAAAGCCTTTGTTTCTTTCACAAGCGTTCAAAGACATATGATAGAGCATGCTGGAGATAGACCTTATAAATGTAAGATAATGTGAGAAAGCCTTCGGCTGCCACTGTTCATTTCAAATGCATGAAAAGGCTCATAATGGAGAAAAATTCAATAAATTTAAGCAATGTGGCTTTAGTTTTCCCACTTCTGTTCAAACACATGAAAGAACTCATACTGGAGAGAAACCTTATGAATGTAAAAAATGTGGGAAAGCCCTCATTGCTCTCACAAGTGTTCAAAGACATGTGATACTGCACACTGAAGATGGATGTTGCACATGTCAGGTATGTGGGAAAGTGTTTGACTATCCCAGCTCATTTTGAATGCACAAAAGAACTCACACTGGAGAGAGAGTCCATGAACGTAAATACACGATAAACCTTTCAGTTCAGTTCCTTTCGGAAGCACGAAAAAACTTATACTGGATAAAAGTGCTAAATGTAAGGAATGTGAAAAGCCGTCAGCTGGCCATATACTGGCAAAAATGTATAAATGCTCACTGGATTGAAACCCCATTAATTTAAAAAAATACAGGGAAGTTTTAAATTTTACTGGCTACTTTAAAAGTCATGATAAAATTCAAACTACAGTGAACTCCTACAAATGTCATAAATAAAGCCTGACGGAAATTAATTCATATATAATGTTCTAAAACGTTTACAACATGAAAAAAATGTTGTAAAAGCAATATTTTATGTTTTAAATAAATAAATAAAAGTAAGATCAAAATAACTGTAATTTTAATTTATTATTGGTCATATTTTATTTATTCTAATTCAGAACATTATTCATTTTTCCCCACCAAGGAAATCAGAATTTATTTTGCAGATGTATGTGCAAAAAACTTGGAAGTTTGTAGAAATTCACTCTTGAACTGCCCTGGACATGATTCAGAGGCTGACTGAGGGAAGGGCTGAATTTCTGGCTTTAGAGGGTCTCTGCGGCTTGGCAATGAGAAGATGGGAAAATTGGCTTCAGGAAGAGGAAGAACTTCACCTTCCTTTAGTGGAGGGAGTCGATAAACATATGTAGTGTGTCTGCCGTGGAAGGGAACATGTCCTTTACCTGGGCCTTTTTCTTTTGAGTGCTTAGGTGGTGGGCCGTGGTCATGGCGATGGTGATCCTGGGGACCTTGGCTATGTGGTGGTGGGTCACAGGGGCCATAGTCATGGAATTTATGGCCATGAGGAGGGGGTCCATGGGGAGGGGGTCCATGGGGAGGAGGTCCATGGGGAGGGGGCCCATGGGGAGGATGTCCAAAGGGAGGGGGTCCGTGGGGAGGATGTCCATGGGGAGGATGTTCATGGGGAGGGGGTCCAAAGGGAGGGGGTCCATGGGGACGGTGTCCATGGGGGTGATGCTCATGGGACTGGTTCTTACTAGAAGTATGATTGTGAGGGGATCCCTGGATCCCATTGGTGACAAAAGGGTGGTGACGACATCTTGTCCCTGGAGGGGGCGATGGTGGAGGAGCTCCTGGATTAAGTGGTGGTCTGTCTGGGTGATCTTCTGCTGGGGAAGGTGGGCATCCATGTTCATGTGGCTTTGGGGGATGATGATGGTCTCTAGACCCATCTGGCTTAAATGGAGACTTGCCAGCAAAGGGCCATCCACCACTGATGTTTCTGTGTTCCTGGAAAAGGATGCAGAAGAGTGAGTATCATCATGCAAAACAAGAGAAGTTACAGACAAAAACCGTCATCTACCACCATCATTATTTCACAAAAGGAATAATATTTTGACAACAAAACAGTCATAAAGATCATCTCAGAATAAAGGATAGTCCTTTAGATGGAATAAATGTTGTATTATGAAAAACTTGATTTACTATCCTTATTTTTCCCATTTCAACATAAAGTGGTAAAACTATATTATGGAATGGCACCAACTGTAGACCAACATTTGGAAAACTAGTGCCTTATAATTGATATTATCGACAGAGTTCTAAGTCTTGATGATTTAAACATTTCTTCCTCCTAAAGTGTGAACAGTTGACCTCCTCTTTCCCTCGTTGCTCAGACTTTAATTTTTAAAAAAATCTATGGAGCCATGTTTATGGTGACAAACCTGCCCTTCCTTTTTCTTTCTTTTTTTGAGTCAGGACATGGACATTCAAATTATTTTCAGTTTGTTTTTTTTTTTATAAAAAATAGTGTGAGAAACATCTTTGTGTTCAGCCATAAAATAAAACAAGGATATCTGGGACAGATGTTAAATATTGTTTTGTATGCTATTTTATAAAATTTGTTTAATAAGTGTGAGGTTAATTCATTCCTCTTAGATTCTATGCCTGATCTTAAAAGCTAAGAATTACTAAGTCTCAGTACTGCCATCCTAACTACAAGGGTCATTTTCAAATTCTTTCAAGGTTGATTAAATTGGTCATGATTTTATTTTTCTTCCAATCTTACCACTCCCCATTTCTTGTAAAAATTACTATACTTTTTGTGTCATACCAGCAATTGCCACTTCTTTCTCCAGGGGTCTGTATCTTTTTCCTCTCTCTCTCTCTCTCTCTCTCTCTCACGCACGTGCACACACACACTCACAGATATACACACAGAGCCATAAGAACCAAATATACTATGTGTGTAAAAATATCGCTTGGTCTGGGCCTGCTCATGGAACAGGCTACTTAGGCAACCCACCTCAAAGTTGAAGACTTCACAGTTTACGACAATGTCTTCTGGGGTTTCCAAGTCAGTGGCCCCTACATCATAAGACAAATCTGCTCTGCAGAATCCAAAGACCTACAAATAAGAGAGAAGCCTGTTAGTGTGCATGGGTGTGTGTGTGCATGCACAAGCATGTGGAGGTGGTGTGAAAGTGCCCAGCCAGAGTCGTGAACATCCAGATATTCAGGAAAGGAAGGAGAGCTTTAGAAAACTCAGGGTCATAGTATCAGCTATCCCTGCCAGTTATTGAAAATCTTTCTTATTCAACACTTGGGGGAAAGTGCAGGTTCCAGAGGGTTTCATCACAAGTTGCTATGGTTTTTCTCCACAAGTGGTCCCCAGCACAGAGCTCCCCCATACCATGTCATTGCTGCTTGGTCTTTAGGCCAACCTTCTGACTGTGCCTAGAGAGAACAAGGAATGGTGTGGAAGAGGGAGTTATAAAACTTTAACTCGTCCCTTGGAGGAAAGCATCAGGAAGGAGGAGCCAGTATAAAGATGGCTTGCATGGACCCTGTCAAGCTGAGCATCTGCTGGCCCCACTCTGAGTACAAGGGCTACGACTGGCTGGCATGCCTGTGCTCCAGAGGCCCCTAAACCCAGCCGTCAAAGTTAGACTAGGACAAGGAGATGACTATTTTCTGGAAGAAACTATTAATCACTGAGGTTGTGAGTAGAGTTTTGGAGTCAAACAGACCTATATTAATCTTGGCTTGACCATTTACTGGTTGTGTGAATATAGGCAATTACACAAGATTTCTGAAACTCAGTCTTTGTAAATTGGGTATAATGTTATCTACCCACAAGTTGTGGGAGGGCTCAATTAAATGAGGTAATGCTGTGAGACATTTAGCACTGAGCCTCCTCTCCTCCAGCCCTGTGGTTCTGCACTGGACTTGCATTACCTACGCAAAGATAGCTAAGGGTTTGTTGGGGATGGGGGCAGGGGAGGAAGGTGTCCTTCCTTGTGGCCACTAGGCAGGATTCTAAATCTGGTCAGGTTGCAAATTTAAACAGCCAAAAAAGAAACTAACAAATGTTTCTTCCCTTCTAGCCAGGAAGAAATGTGTTGTTACACCTCAGAAAAATTCTGGACTTGAAATCAGAAGGCCACAGTTAAAATCCCATGTCCTAACACTTTCTAGCTGCATCCTTAGGTAAGTGGTTAAACTCTTAGGCCCCTTTGTCCCAGGGAATTGGAGGCCTGCACTTGCTTCTACTCAGTGCGGTTGTTGTGAGGCTCCAACAAGGCAATAATATATGTGTAGGTATTTTGTAAACTGTAAGTCACCATGCAAATGCCTATTAAGATCTTCCTCCAGGTAAATGGGTATCTATTTGTAAATGATTGGGGGGAAAATCACACTGGACTGGGCACAAGGAGAATCAGATTCTAATCTCAGCTCAGTTGTTAACACTGGCATGACCTTTCCTTTGTTAAGCCTCAGTTACTTCCTCATTTGTCAAATGGGATCCCTGTGGGTGTCAATGAGATGGAATGAATAAAACCAACTACTGGGGAGGGTCTGAATATAAGCTGGTTATTAGTTTTAGCTAAGCCTTTAATCCTAATAAGTTAAAAACAAAACCTGTTTTAAGTTTAGGTATATATCATGTATATTGTAAAACCATATTCTCATAATTCATTTAATTTCTCTGTGCCTTGGTTTCTCCATCTACAATCAAGGATAAAAGTAGTATCTACCTCACAGGGTAGTCTGAGGGTTAATAAGTCAATGTATGTGTCAAGCACTTAGCTGAGTGCCTGGCAGGTAGTAAGTGTTCTCTAGGTGAAACTATTTCACAGACATTACTATACTCACATGACGGTATCTGGGGAAATTCTCACTGGAGCAGTTCCTCACAGAGAAGTCCACATAGTAATTGGTTCTTTCCCCTCCTTTCTGCAATAGAAGGACCAAAATAGTTTCAGGAACAGAAAAAATAAAATAAAATGAAGTAAACCTTAGATAGTAAATATCTACTATTTGATACATTGTAAAGCACTATGAGGATTCCAAATCACCTAGGTGCCATTTTTCTTGTGGTTTCTGCCTTTCTAAAATTTATCACATAAGTGATAAGGGGAACACCATTTCACTGAAAAGGTTCAAATAATACAGAATAAGCACAGTGGGAAAAAAATCACCCTTTCCACACCACAACCTCTCAGAGGTCTCACTATCATCTGTTTGAAGTGTTTCTCCTTCTAGACTTTTTCTTAGATGTGTTGCACAAATACAAGCAGATCTAAGTAACATAAATGGGCTCATAGTCTAAGTATTATTCTGTAACCTGCTTTTCCCCTTAGCACTATGTCTTGAAACTCTCTCCAATGCACATGGGTCCAAAACATTCTTTTTGGTGACTGCACTGTATTCATTCCATTGCTTGTATGCACCACAATCTATTTAACTTTGCATTTTCAAAATGCCTGACAAACATCGACCAGCTGCTCTGCAAGACAACTCAAGGAGGTTCTTGAGTCCTTGGACTGTGAGGCAGGGACCTGAATGGCTCCAGCCACACCACTGGGTATGGTGAGGCAGTTTCTCTGGGCCTGTTTTCCATCATAATATAAGGAGGTTAAGACTGGATGATTTTTTAACGACTCACATAACCCTAATAGGCTCATCTTTCCCTCTTTCTTTTTTGTTGAATTTTCCCTCCTCTCTGTCAGATATCCAATACCTTCCCCTCCAAAAACTAAAAAACTTGCACAACAGCAGTTCTTTGCTTCCTGCTGCCTGTCTATCACAGCCCCAAAGGCTGCAAGAGGGGCCCCAATTTAAAAGCAGCTGCTCAAGTGAGATAGGTGGAAAGGGTGTGTCGCTCAGTTGGTGCCTGCCAGCTTGGAACCTGGACCCTTAGACTTTAGCTGGAAGTTAGTGGAGACTCACGGCTCTTGCAACTCTCTCTACTTGGTCCACTCTGAAAAAGGCGAAATCACCATTCTCCCTTTTGTACTTCTTAAGGGCTTCATCAGCTTGTTTTTTGTAGAGCTTGGTATCCTCAAAGAAATCCAAGACTACAGAACTGTCTTTGTTATTGGCCACTGCTGAAGAAACTAGAGAAAGAAGATGGCAGTGTCACAATTACTGGGTCAGAAACAGCAATGTCAATATTGGGACTCAATACATTTAAGCATGGTGGCAAGAATAACAATAACTTCCATTTTACAGATGGTCAAATTGAGGGTCAAAGAAGCTGTCACTTGTTGCAGATCAATCAGTCAATCAGCAGCAGAGCTAAACTGCTGATCCTTCCTTCTGATCTTTCTGATGCCCAAGTCTCTATTGGGACCCCTATTCATGATGTTGCCACCACCACCACCCATGAAGTGCTAATATTTTGATGAATTCCTCTCTTCTTTCCCAAGGGGGAAGAGATATTATTAACATAAAGTTTTGCCTAGAGAAAGGAGAAGATACAGCTCAACCTTTCTTTAAGGCAACCTCCTGCAGAAGTGGTGTGGCTATTGACTTGTATATTGGATCATGTTGATATTTTCCATTTTTTAAAGAAATCTGTGATAATTCTTTTTGAAAAAGTAAATAAGAAAAGCATGGAATTTAGAGTCAACACTGCTGGGACAGAGTCATGTCTTCACCACATCTTGACTGTGTTCACAAGGCCAAGTCATTCAGCATTTTCAAGCCTCAATTATTTTATCTCTAAAATAGAAAGTATCATAATCTTTACTTCACACCTTGTTCTGAGATTAAATAACATAATATGTATACCCACTTTGTAAACTGTAGAGTAATACGTAACTTTTAGATGTTGAAGTCAATACTTATTGAGTGCTACGTATACCCTGAAAAGTAGAACAACTAATTTAATTCTAATGAGAAGCTTAAGAACTAATACTACTATTATCCTCATTTTACAAATGAGAAAAGCTTTAAAGAGGTTAAGTAACTTGTTCCCAAGATCACACAACTAGTAAATGATGAAGCTGAGATTCAAACTCAAGCCTGACCCCAGAGCCTACATCTCTATAGTGATGCTATACTGCCTCTTGTAAAGCTCTATTTTTCTACAATGAATTTCTTTAAAGGAAGGTGTACCAGTAATGAAGAAAAATTGTCTCACTTCTATTCTCAGGAGATCGAGTAATAATGGAGTCCATGAGGGCAGGGACCTTTTTTGTCATGTACATTATAGTATTATATGATGAATACCACTGGATGATTGAATGCTATTTTAATCTAGAATCAAGTAGCAATTTAACAAGTTACCGTACCAGAACTTGTGGTGCAGTTAAAATCGGGCACTCTAAGATCCAGAGATTCACTCGAATGTGTGATAGCTAGTACCTTGCACTGTCCAATCACCTGTAAGAAAGGGGGTTCGAGTCACTGCATTGCCTTCCTCGGGCTGGATGCAAGGGGACAGAAGGTGATGCGGTACACTCTGACTAACCATGTGAAATGTATCTGGAGTTTTCTTTATCAAATTCTGTCTCAAAACCTGCATTTTCTTCATCTGTTTCTGTGTGCTGCATACTATTGGCACCCCAAACCCTCATGAAAACCAGGGAGAGACTGTTTAAATGGACCATGACCATATACCAAACATTTTCAAAGGAAAAAAAGCTAAATTCCTAGGTGTGTAAATTTCTTATTTTCTGGGAATGAAATCTTCTATCTGTGTTTATTTGTCTTTGTGTTCTCCATCTGTGGCATAGAACCTGGCGTCTAAGCTATAAAGTCACTGTGCAGAAGACCCCATTCCTCACTGTAACTAATCCCTGTGGCCATTCCTGCTATCAGGACACAAGTACCAATTCTTAGATTCTTGGACCCATAGACTGTCAGGGCCGGAAAGGACCTTAGAGCCCACCTACTCTAAACCCCTCCTCTATTTTACAGTTGAGGAGACTGAAGTCTGGGGATGTTTGGTGATCTGCCCATGGCCTCAAAGCTGGTCATGCTATCCCATGGGACCACTAGCCCTGCTGACTTATCTTGAACTGAGTTCCCAGGAATGGCTCTCAGGAGACATTACTCAAGGTCAGCATAATCGTCACGAACCTCAAAGTGAAAGCTGCCCTTAGTCTTTTGCTGTGTTAGCCCAGGCATGTGTCTACCCCGAGGAAGCAGAGTAAGGAAAGTAAGAAAGATCAAAGGAGGGGAGTGGTACCCTGTTTACTTACTAAATCAGATGGACGTCTAGAAACAGCTGGCTTGCAGTCATCCCAGTGTTTCCTGGAGAGGACCGGACAGTCAGTTTCCTTCACATCTAAGTCTAAATAATAGACAGTAGCAGATTCCTGAGGAATGCCAAGAAAGCAATAGGTGAGTAGCATGTGGGAACCCAGAGGTTTTTAGATAAACACAATCTATTTCTTAAACAGAATTCCTGCTGCTTTCCAAATCTTTGCAGATTTCTTATCTTTGTGTCATTTGATCTATATATTTGAACATAGCTATGAAGAGTTATTTCCAAATGTTTTTTGAATATATCTTCAAAGAATCATTTCCAAATTTTTTTAATATAGCTTCAAAGAGTTATTTCCAAATGTTGTTTGTCTGTTTGAATATAGCTTTAAAGGGTTATTTCCAGTTTTTTTCCCCAAATGTTTTCATGATGTTACTCCTGCCCACGAACTTTAAAAAGCTATCACCAAATGGCAGTGCTGGTTTGGGTGGAGGCATTGAAGGGACATGCCTAGAATTATAAGTGATGACAGCCACATGATGGCCCCGGCTGCATCTACAGTTCTGCCCTCTCACTGAACTCTATTCCTGAACTTGGATGTTTTGGTTTGATTTCAACTTGCCCAAAGCTAAACCCACTTGCTTCTCTTACAAACCAGCTGCCTTTCTCAACTTTGCTTGTCTTTGTCAGTGGCACCATTAACCACTTATTACGTTAGGCTCTGGCTTAAAACAATGTAAATCAAATTTGATTCTTTTCTTTGCTTTTAGTATCCAGTCACCAGGCCATGACTGGTCTTTCTTTGAAATGTCTCTCACGTCTATTCCTCATTTTCCTAATTCCCACTGATTAGGTCTGGTCCTTATTTCCTCATTCCTGAATCCATGAAATAGCTTCCTAGTTCATGTCCCTGTCACCTGCCTTCATCTCCTCAGGCACACAGTGCTCCTCTTTATACTACCACCCACTGTGTACACTACCACTTGGAGGTAGGACAGTGCTGATTCATCCTGTGTCGTACACGTGTGGCGGAGAGCCTGGAATGGGACTGATGGTCACTAAATTGCTGGCAGAATCCTAAATTCCTGTCTTCCTGTTCTCTGCAACCTGTAGTGCCTCCCTTGCTCACTTTTTAATGGTCTGGTGTCCTCTGTCATATGCCATGGTCTGGCCTCTCTGATTTCAGTTATTCTGTCAAAGGGAGGGTGGATTTTTGTTTGTTTGTTTGTTTGTTTTCTGGGGTGGTGGGGGGGAGTCTTTAGCATCCCTCCATAATCTCTATTAGCACCTCAAATCCATTTCCAATAAGCATATGACCTAAGTGAAGACAGTAGGCTTGCTGGGCTTCAAGATAAGCATAGTCTCTCTTCCAACCTGATGGCTGCTCTACAGCAACATAGAACTTCTGGAACTATCCTCCTCCACCCCATTCTGATTCCCTACCCACCTAGAAACCATGTGTCTGGAATTCACCTGGAATACCTTTAACTTCTTCCTATTCAAATCCCACCCATTATTCAGGACCCAGCTGAAGCCTTCTCCCATCCAATCTTAATAGATCTCCTTATATTAAATTGCTCCAGCATCTATAGCACTCACTTGGTCACTTGAATATTGTTAGGGTCAGAACATGATACACCAAAGTGTGGTGTTTTGGCATGCTGAGTGCTTTGAACTAAAGGAAATCAAAAGGGCCTCAGAAACAAGATCTATCTGACCTTCTCCTGTCTTGCTGTCTTCTGACTTTCTTTCTCCCCCCCAAGTCAGGACATAGAAACCAGAAGCCTTCTCTCTCAAAGCAGCTGTAAAACCTAGAAATACTCCTCTAACCTTCTCCCCTGACTTTCTGTGTAGAAGCTGGCTGTGAAGAAATTCTCCGACCTACCTTATCGGATTGTAGGTCATAAGACACTCATTCCAGAAGGGTTCCTACCCTGTACCTGGGAGGAAGGAATGCCACATAGACAGGCCAAGAATAATCTGAATAGACAGGCCTTGCTGGGTTTCTCCCCTCTAGTCTACTACCGCTAGATCATACCCTTTTGTCCAGTCACGTTTCTGCATGGCTGTCCGTTCTTTATTGAATCTAAGCATAAAAATGGATAGTCTTCTGTGGGTCTTTGGGCCTTCATTTCTGAAATCTCTTATGTCACGTTAAACTTTGATGAAATAAATTCATATGTTTTCTCCTGTTAATCTGTCTTTGTCAGTTTTATTTTAAACCGAGCCAGGAACCCTAGGAGGGTTAAGGAAACATTTCCTCCCCTGCAGTCTATCCTATTTTACACAGTTTGCCTGTGTGTGTCAGAAGATTATTATTATTTTCTCTCGCAGTACTTAGCATTCCATTGGGCTTAGCATAAGTGCCTACAAGTACTTACAGATTGATTCATAGTTAAGGACATGCTAATAACAAACATTAGTTTGAAGGAAAAAAAGAATGACCTAGAGCAGCCACGGAAACAAAGCAGAACACCCTGACCAAAGCCTTTCATTATACAAGCAGAAACTTAGGGGCTAGAGTTGCGTTTGCCCTGGTACATGGTTTCCCACCTCAGCTCTACAATTGGCCATTCCTCACCTGTTTGTCCAAGTGGGCATCAGTGACCCGCAGCAACTGGAAAACGTAGCCATCCCGTCGCCTTTTATTGATCTGGTCTAGAGCTTTCTCAGCCACAGGCTTAGCAGTGTCGCAGTCCGTGGGGCTCACGGCACACGAATACTGCAGTGTGATCAAAAGCAGTACTACAGCGAGTGCCTTCATTTTGTTAAACCATCCCTCGCTATGGTCTACCTAGCAGAGAATTTTATAGAGACTTTCTGAAACACACACACACACACACACACACAATTGATTAAACAAAGTCTTTATACATGTTTGTTGTGTAACTTGGGATGTTCACCTTGACCCTTTGTTCAAATATCCACAACAGGCTGTAAATGATTAGTGGGTCCTGGAGACAGAAAGTTGAGAAACACCACTGGTGAGTGAGCGAAACTGTGATCTGCACAAATCTAGATATTTCTAGTAGGTAGCAGATCCAAACTGTGTTTCTGACCATAAGCACTGCCTATGTTGGTATGGGGGTGCGGTTAGGGGTAAAGTAATTCTCCTACATCTGCCTGTCTCAGCTGGAAAACTCTCCCATCAGTCTCCTTTTCGGATTATGACATTGAAACTCCTCAGTAGAATGCAACTGCATTATCTGAGGGAGGTAACATGTTATAAACAGTTAACATCATAAACGGAGCTGACTTCAGATAGGATAGAATGATTAAGAGGCTGTCTCTTTGAAGTCGG